TGTACCTACTCAGGAATGAGACACACCACAACTTTGCCTCTTTTTGTGTGTGTGTGTGTTCTTTTGTGGTTTTTGTTTGTTTGTTTTTTGTGAGCTGCTGCCTCAGAATGGAACCAGGGAAAACAGAGATATATATCCTGTAACAACCTGCTCATTACTTTCTGAGGTCACTGTCTACTAGGTGGTATTTTCTAGATGAGAAAGACATCTGTGCACCAACATCAGTAGATATTTGGTCACTCTTCAGTTGCCTAGTTTAGTGTTGGTGTACCTTACAGAGCTGGGTATCACTGCTCTAATGAAAAAATGGGTGAGTTAAATCAATTTAAAATATAGCTTGGAACATCAGTTGGAAAGTATTATTATGAAGTATTATAGTGAAGTGTTACTCCAAAAATGTACTCAAAACCCATTCAGTAAGGATGTTATACTAATAGTGGTGTGGGGATCTTTGCACGTGTCCTGGTGGTTCTCACAAGTTTTTTGTGGTTCTAAGAAAGCTAGCCAAAAGATATTGTTCCTCCACTGCTCATCCCCAGTCACTAGTGACTTTTTTTTCCCCTTGTGCTCTTATTAATGGAAATAGTTGTGCTCTTATTAATGGAAATAATTTTCCTCCAAGTTATTTCTAGGAAGTACTTCCTCCAAGTGTTCAAACTTCTTCAGACTTCAAGCTAGACTTTAAAGAGTTCATGTTTCCAGTTACATCAGATCGATCACTTATGCCCTGGGATCTTGCCAATAAGTGTCAGGAGTGCTCTTGCCTTGTCTGGTAATTCTAACCACTTCCATTAAACACAGCTCTTAACCCCCTCTGATATTGCCTGCCCCAAGATTTCAGTGTCCTGTTTGCAATTCCATAACCAAGTTGTCAGATGCCAGCACCATCTCCTGGGTAATCTGCTTGAGGTACAAAACCTCATCTTGGCCCCTTTCCTTTTGTTTAGGGTCAGAGCCCTGCAGCTACAGAGGGATAGGAGGTGGGCAACCTCGGAGTAAACAGTGCCAAGCAATGCATTTGACCAATGGCCTGTCTGATAAATGGCTTGGCTGTACTTGGGAAGCAAATGCTCTGGCTGTTGCAGTCAGCATGTCTCTGGAGAAACAGCCCTTAAAAATTTAGTTTTCACTTAATAGATTCTGATGAATTTGTTTGTTTCTTTTCTGTCTTTCCATATTCACTGCCTACTCTGTAAAACTCTTAATTATAGACCTAAATTACAAATCTGTGTATTTAAAAGGAAAAAAAAATCATTGAAAAAATGTTTAAGAAGACAAGAAAAGATGGAAAGCAGGTGTTGCTTTAGATTCTTATATCCCAGTTCTAAATCTCTGAAGCAGATTGAATAACTGAAAAGATTTTATGTCTGGGAAGACAGTTTTGTTGATAGCAAGCACAGCAAGGGGATAACTTCTCATTAGGCACTGGGATTTAGATCTGGAAAATGCTGTCTCATCCCTTGCCCGCTGCCGATGCACACTCATGCATGTGCAGCTGCTCTGGAGGAAGAGAGCACGGGGAGAAGAGTGTCAGGAGGGGACTGCAGGGCTAGAGAGCAATTCCTTTTGCTGGTCTGTCCATCAGAGGGAGAAGATGAATTCTTGTTGCCTGTATTTTTAATGGTTTGCTCAAAAGCTCTCAGTGGTATTTGACAGCAGAGATCAGTCACGGAAGATCGCTGTACTGGCAGCACTCTGTGCACTGCATGTGGCTCATCCCTGTGCGTGTTCCTGAAAAATGGCTTGTCCCTGGTTATTCATTCCCTGGCTATTCATTCCCTGGCTAAGGAAATTAGCTCATTACCTATACAAACATACATGCAGGGATTCAAGTCCTAACTGTTTGCCATAGGATGTCAGACAGCTGCTTGCTTTCGTTAGGGCATGGAAATGACAGATCTGTGACAGTTCTCCTTTCTGCATTTTGAAGTTTTCAGAAATAGAGAGAGGAAGGATTTTTGTTTATATATACAAGGTTCAATCCTGTTAATGTTAATATTATTCTTCATAGAAAAACTTCCTCAAAAAAGGATATTTACCAGCCACAAAAGCAGTCTGTCTTTCCTTTCCTTACCTGTCTTTCAAACAATATCATACACAATTTAAATACTTCAATAGAATATGACCAAATCACACTCCTTTCATCCAGCAAAATGACTTTGTCAGCTGTTAGCCTTCAGCATAAGTTCATTGTTAAAGGACAAGGTCAAGGCTTTGTGGGTGGAGTAGCTTGCAACTGGGAAAATTGAAGAAGGAAGAGACCCAAATTAAGTAAAATCCTGTTTAATCTATTGCAGACACAAAGAAAAAGACAGTAGAGGACAGGGAATGTTCTGCTTTGCATTCTTTCCATTGTCTTGAATCATTGCTTTGGGAATATCTAGACTTGAGTTAGAATTCCTTGCCCATATTCCAGAATTGCTGGCAGATGTTGCACAGATGTGCTTTCAGGTGTCAGCCACCAACACCCAGGGACAGGTGGAGACACAGGAGAGGTAGGGAGCTGCTCATTTTAGGGGAAGTTTCAAGAAACTTTGCTGTTATCAAGCAAGAGACTTGGTAGCCAAGTCTGAGCAGCCAGAATTCAAACGTTCAAGTGGATGGTTTGTCATTGCACAAGTCAAGACAAGGCTTGCTTTTGGTATTATGCAGATCAGCCAAATGACTTTGAGTTGCACATTTGTTTACAGTGATGTAGCTTAACAGCTTCTCCTAGTGTTGCAAGGCAGAAAACAGAGAAAAAGAGGTTGCTGCCAGGTGAGATAGGAACCTGGGGCCTCTGAACTGCCTGCTGGAGGCCTTTCTCTGCTGATATCTTACCTGTTACAAGGGGGAAACCTTCCCAGGCAGAAACTTAAGTCCCTAACAAAATCTTAAAGCCAAGGTAGCTTGTGTTAACTCTTGTTGTTAGTTTTGTCTGAGTTAGGATTGGCCACAAACTGGAACTGAATCCTCTGCTCTGAGTAGAAGGATCCTTCAGTCACCTGGAGGTGGCAAACTCTGAGGAGCCATTGTGGATGCTTGCCCTGTATAGATTGCCTACAATGTTGTCTTGAGTTCAGAGCTTTCCTAAAAAGGTTTCAAGGTAAAACAATGCCTGTGCATACTGCCTGCTGCCTGGGAGGGATCCAACAGCATTGAAATGTGTCTTGTGAGTGCTTTCTCAAGGTCATTGGGACAGGAGAAGGCAGGAAAGGAGTATCCCACTTGAGTATTGGCTAATTCAATCTGGTGATGATTCATGTTTCACATCCCAGGATGGCTTGATATTTCATGTATTTGTTACCTTTTATAGCAATGCAAAATACGTAAAACTGAATTGTACAAATCACAATGACAGAACAATAGCTGAACAAAATCAAGATATGCTTCCCACTCAGCCTTATCAGCCTTGGTGTTCTCCTGAAAATACCAGTAAAACTCATAACCCTGGGAATGTCTGTGCTCTGCTTTAATGGTCTTTGAAAGCCTGGTGAAAAAGTAAATAGGCTCTGGAGCAATTCCCAAAGATGGTAAATTCATTTTTTTAACAAATGTAGTTAAAACAACACTCCTGTGCCTGATGAAATCAGTGGCAGTTTTGTGACTGGCTCCAGGAGCAGTGAGGTTAAACCATTGTTGTATGGCACAGTAAGGTGCGGATATCTTCAATATGAGAGCACCTTGGGAGGAGCACCAGCCATAGCAACAACCACCTAGGGGGAATTTTGACAGATGGTAAGAAAAACCTTTTCCACTTCTGACTGCAACATTCTGGAACTATGTGAGCTCCTATAATAATTTGTATGCTGTGCTGGCCTTCCTCTGATTCCTGCACTTTTTAAAATTAACAATTGATAAATTCATTAGTCTGACAGAGATTTGGCTCCTTTATGTTCAGATGGAAATTCTTCATTTATAAGTAAGGAGACTTATTTGTGAGAAAAGGATTAAGAACTGTATATGTTATTTCCCAGATCAACAGTTTTCCAATAATTTCAGTATGGGGTAAAAAAAAGCACTTCCAAAAACTGAAGAATTATTCTTAGTTTCACAGTAAGAACTGTCTGTGTACATGTCTGTATGTATGTACAGATACAACATTTTTTGTTCAGAGTTTTTTCTGTATAGTCATTCCCATCTGACACTTCCAGGCTGATAATTTGTGTGCTTCATGATGTTGTGGTGTGCTATCTTTCCAAAATGCAGCTCAGCCTCTGAATTTCATATTCTGTTTGCCTGGTGCGGAAAAACAGCCAAAACAGGTTATGCTTTGGGCTCAAAGGCTGATGCAATGTGGCTTCCATAGTTTCACATCTGGCACTATTAAAAAAAATAGATAAAAAATCACCTTGCTGCACCAGCAATTGCTTTCACAGCTGGCACTGAACTTCATTGTGTTGGTGGGGCAACACCACTTTTTGGGCCCTACTGATTTGAGCCACTTAGGATCTACTTTAGAAAACACTTTGAGTTTAACTGCAAGTACATTAGGATATCCAACTGTGATTAATGATCATGTTTTGGTTTTTTTTCCTAGCCAGGCCTTGAGGCTGGATGGATCCTCTGTAAAATTTTCCCAGCCAGTTCTGCGCTGGCTGTTCTCACCCTGCTGTGCTCTGCAGCACCAGCTCTGACGTGAGGAATGGTGTTTGGTGTGAGATGTTGTCTCACTCTGCGGCGGCAGAGCAGGGCTCTGTCTACAGCAACTCAGAGAAACAAATAGGAAACAGGATTTCCCCCAACAGGCGTCTGATTTTTCAGAAATGAACCGTTGTAATGGGATGTACAGCTGAGCAAACCCCACAATTTATACAGGATGACTTCACACTTGACAAAACACAGCAGGTGGGACCTCAAGTTTGCTTCACCTGAGCACCAAGCTGTACCTGGTTCCCTTTTTCTCAGGATTTACTATAAATAATGTCCTTGTTACCATTTTGTGCAGGGTGGATTCTGGTAACTGCAGACCAAGAAACCTTGACCCTGTTTGTTTGTTACAAATACTGTACTCTTATGTGCTCTCCGCCCTCTGGGGCCCAGGAGAGCTGGTGTTTGGCTGCTGCTGCAGCCTCGGAAAGATGCCCTTTCAGGAACTCAGCTCTTCTGCTAAAGTCTCCCTCTTTGCTGAGACCATCCTTCACTGAAAGCATTGCAGCATATTTTAAAAGCTCTCTCTGTCTGGAAATTCTCCAGACAGCTTCTTACCTACCGCTGTTATCATCCTCCTCTCCCCCTCCCTTATTAAAGCTTCCCAAGCAGATCTGTATCATTAATATTTCAGTATCAGCTGCACACGGGCATTGGCTACACTGCAGCACACTTCATCAATAAGAGCCAGCGAGGGCTGTGAGCTCTGCCACGCTGCCTTCATCCAGCACAGGAGGAAGAGCAAAGGCAGAGCCTGCCAGAGAAGCTCAGTATCTGCCGAGGGTAAAGCTGCATCTCGCAGTCCCAGCCTTGAGGTGCTCTTTGCTGCTTTTGCTCCCTCATTCAGACCATCCCAGATAATACCCTAACAAGCAACAAGAATGGATGTCTTTAAGAAAGGTTTCTCCATTGCTAAAGAAGGTGTGGTGGCTGCTGCAGAAAAGACCAAGCAGGGAGTGACAGAGGCTGCAGAGAAGACCAAAGAAGGGGTAATGTACGTAGGTAAGAGAAAACTCGTTTTGATCTACTTTTGAGCATGAAAAGTTGCATAGATTGTCTGTGAGAAAGTCTGGGGAAATTATATTGTGACTGAAGCTTGGGAGTGATTAGCAGGATAGTCTGGATAAAATCCTGAGCTTTGCAGAATTGCTGTGTAAACTTGGGGTACCATGCCTCAGTTTCCCCAGCTGTAAGACACAGAAACCACAACTTCAGGGAAGGCAGAATGATGTTACGGAGCAGATGCCCAGGTGTAAGGTTTGTTTGACTATTTACTGATTGTTTGCAGGGTGAGGCAAGCACTCTCCAGGCAAACAAGGACTGCTGGTCTCTGCCTCACCTCTACACTGGGAGGGACTCACTGAGGAGGTCCCTGAGAAGAGGCAGCCGTGTTAGTAAGAGGGGACTGCAGGATGCATCTGTTTCCCCACAAACAAATGGGTTTGTCCTGAAATCCTTCTCCTGTTCACCGACCTCTTTCGTTGCCCATGCTCACATTAATCTTGCTTTACAAGAGACGCCCAAATTCTTTTTGCCCAAAGAATAGGATCTGGAAAACAGCGTGCCTGATGTCCTGCCTGGAGACCTCTTTCACAGTTAATGGGCTGAAACCTCCTCTTTCAAGGTCACCCTCAAAACCCACTATCTCCACTTATCTAGCACATGCAATTATATGGCTGGATGGTCAGATATTCCATATAATACAAACTAAAGACTCTTAGGTTCCCAAGACTGATTATCTCACTGCTGATTACTGCATTTCACACAGCTGTTTATTTTTGCTGGATGTGGGAGTGTTTTTTTTTGTAGGAAAGTTTACATGCAGGCTCTTCCTGCTATCCTACTGCAACATCCACAGCTATACTTAGCTACTATATCTAAAATTGCTATATTGCCAATAGCTACAGATATATATTTGTCTTTAATTAAAAATAAAAAAATTAAAAATTAAATGCAAACTTTGTATGTAACAGGTCTGGTAATGCTTTTATCTTGAATTTTTAAATACTTAATTACTGACATGCTGGAAATGAATGGATGTAACAGTTTGCATTTCAATTTGAAGCTGACTCACAAGAAAAAAAGGTAAGCAGCATTTCTGTAAACAACTAAACCAACTACAGTAAGTGAAACACCAGTCTAAGAAGTGTCACATTGTGGCATCATTACTGCTCCACCTGCTTCCAGATCTGAGTTGTGTTGGGGTTATTCAGAGTTTTTATACATAATTTCTCACATCTCTTTTCAGTCACGTTGTACAGCTCCATACTGTGACCTGGTTTTTTCATTGTTGTACAAGAGGTCTCTTTAGGACATTCTAACCTTTCCAATAAAGTTTTCTATGAGCCTAAAACTAAAAGCCTTCAAACCTTAATCTCTGAATGAGGATCAAGAAAGGATCAAGGTGAGGATTAAGTGCTTTCTCCTTTTATTGGTTTGGTTTGTTGGTATACTGCTGGTTCCTGCCCTGTCATGCACTGGACAGAGCTTTGCCTTGGCCTGATTCAGTTCCTATCGGGAAACTCAGCTCTTTAGGGAAAATTCAGTCTTTCATAGGCAGGAAAAATAAAGACCAGATGCTGATTAGCTCAGAAAATGTTTTAATATAATTTTTTAATAACCAGAGAAGGTGGATGTGTGGTATATTGGTTAAAACTGGAATGATTAGTATGTTGTTCAAGCTGCCTTTTGTCACTCTGTGCCACATAAAGAGTGAACTGTTCCTTCCTTGCTTCTTCCTTTGCAGGGCCCTATCCCAGCAGCTTTATCTAGAGCATTAGGTGATGAGACTTGAATTTTTGGATACTAGGAGAGAATAATACTGTATTGAATCTCAAGGGTCTTTTGAGAACATCAGGAAAGAGAGCAAAATCTCCAGGGCCTAGGATGGATGAAGTGGATCCCTGACTTTTATTCAGGTTTGTGTTAACTCATTGCTGACTCTCTGAGGAGGATTCCAAGCGTCTGGGCACAACCACCATGTCTGGTGAGTCATTTGCTGCTGCCCAGGAGAAGAAAATAATGCTCACTCAGAGGCATCTGTCTGGAGTGAGCAGCGTCACTGGGACACTGTGGCCACCTCGTCCCCGCTCTGATCCATACAGGTTCAGCTCCCACAGCCCATGGCAGACAGGAGGTGCCTCCTCCTGTGCTATGCCTGCAATGCGGTGCTCCTGCCCTGCTGCCAGCCTTGCTGAACCACGGGGGTAGAGAAGAGGGTGCAGAAAGGAGAGGGAGAAGTCCTGTGTCATGGGTCACCTTTGTGCTTGGTGAAATCACCATCTGCTCTCCAAATTCTAACAGCCTCTGAGCGTGCTGAAGTGTCAGGGGATCCCTGCCTGCATGGTTAGTGTGGATCCAGCAGTTGGTTCAGCAGGCTCTCTTTTTTAATTTGGTTTGAATAGGGGTGTAAGTGATGCTGAAGTTAATTAATGAATTTAATGCAAAGCCACATCAGAGTATCGAGTCATTAGTACTGTTTAATGCTATAGTCCAGTAAGCCTCAACGAAGAATGCCCTTCTAGTTTTCCAGAATGATTTTCAACCATGTGTGTTGCAGAAAGCCCCAACATACCGAGCTGTGTTTAAACTGAGTGATTCCTGCAGGATTTAATGCACATCAAAATATCCCTTTCCACTCTCACCCTTCTCCCAGGGCATAGTGCTCCACCACCTCGGTCCCACCCTGGCGGTCCCAAAGCACTTACAGAAGACTCACGGCACTCAAAAGAGGTAGAGGCAGGATGCGTGAACTTTTAATTCTGGGTACGCAGGCTGCAGGCAAGGACTAATGAGTGAAATGAGATTGAGCATCAGGTGATTGCTTTCTGATTCAACAGATGCGGGCTGCTGGCAGCAGCGTGCGCCGGAAGGTCAGGTTCCATGCGGTGCATAATGGATGGGAGCCTGAGTCATCGGGTGTGGCTGGGCTGGGAGGCTGAGGCGAGCTCTCCCCAGGCTGCAGCAGTGACTCTTCCCAATGACATTGCTTCTGTCATGAAATGGATTCGGATGTTTTTCTTCTATCTACATCCCTCCTTTCTGGAATTATTTTCCATCCACAAATATAACACCTGCTCACTCCTCTTCCTAAATTCGTCTCAGTTCTTGATAAAAGAATTGAGCCCAGATAGTCACCTTAGAAGTCTGGCAAAAAACATGCAAAACTGCAGCTCTTGTCTCACTAAGAGTGTTTACTGCGAAACAGCAAAGGCATGAAAGGCTGATACAGCTATTCATGTACTTTGCTTACCTATCAACTGCTGTTTGACCAAAAACCAACAAAGGGCTAAGCTTGAGCATCTGAGTCTAATATGAGACAACTTTGTATGTCAAATCAATACTGTGGCACTCTTTTCTTGGAATGCTGCTGGGAGGGAAAGCAAAGCAGGATGGTGTCTGAATTGAACCTTGTGTGTTTGGCCCATTCAGGGGCTCACATCTGTGGCTTGAGACTTGCACCTGCTCTGCTCAGTGCTGTGCTTCTGCACATGTTTGTGTGTCATGGGCACCATTATTAAATCCAGTTCACAGCAGTGCACATGTATCACGTGCATCACTAGGAACTCAGCCTACAGCAGTAACAAGTTAAAGGTACAAAGATTTCATTGCTTGATTTTTAAGACAGTTTGGATGGGTGGAGTGAAATGTTGAGGGCATATTGTGGTGGAACAGTTTTGTTCTGCCCCAGGCAAATATTGCAACCACCAAAATAAATCAACAATTGAGAATTATATTCAACAATACATAACATGTATCAGGCAGAACAGAGCTGGGCTGGACCTGTTGTTATCAGGGCACTGCACCTTTTTACTTCTCAGGCTGTTAATGAGCTGCGGTTTGTAGCTTGGTTCTCCCAACACACCCGTGGGTGCTCCATTCTCATGGAGTCAAAAATCTGCCTGGTTGTTGTCCATTTTTATAATTTTATTAGTTGGCCAAAGAAATCCTTTTGTTGTATCAGTATGGGAAACCTGAAGAAAACCTGTATGGGTGCAGATGATTTGCAATATACAGTAAAGTGGGACCAGTGGAATATTTTGCCTTGTGTTTATTTAATTTCCAACAGAGATACATTTTTTTTTTTTTTTTTTTTTTTTTTTTTTTTTTTTTTTTTTTTTTTTTTTTTTATGTGTAAAGCACCTAGTTACCATGGGGACTGCCCATCTACCATATGATTTAACTTATCTGCAGCAGTATCAAGTAGAAAGCATATCTAGCTTGTCACTTCAAGCGTGGAGGAAAATCACAGAGATTAATTATTCCTCAGGGCTATTTGTGTTGTAAACTGAACGCCTTCACATCCTGTTAGCTTTTTAGCATTGAGAACAGCAAGATAAATTACAATGTAAGCATACATATGGTGTATTTTCATTATTTGAGATAAAACCATCTGTTTTCTGTGCATTGCTGTGAGCAGCCACTTACAGCCTAGGCTGAGGCACCAAACTGGGAATCTAGTAAGTAGGTATGTAGGAGGTAGGTGGTGGTTCTGTAAATTCAGTCTCAGATTTCTCCAGTCTTTATTAGTGGTATAGAATGAGACTTTAAATGACCACTGCAGCCAGGTATCCCACTGAAAGGCAGGGGAGAGTCATGGATGTGGCTTCTTGTCTTGCAAGAGTGAGGTAGGTAAGATGTTACCAGGTGTTTTTATTTACAGTCATTTTTACAACTAACTTAAAGTTGATTTACCACCACTCAACTGCTTATTTTGGAAATATTGCAGGGACAATTTTTCATAATCAAGATTTTTCAGGTCTAGGCATCTCCAGAGAATTTGCTGTTGAAGTTCTCCAACTCTCAACACAAAGATACTCATGATACTCACTGGCTTTACTGGGGAGGGAAACTGGTCTCTTCTGACTCTACAAATGGTTTGTGTGTGAGCAGGAGGTACCAGCAACACCTTGGCTCCCCACTGCACTTCCTCAGAGCAGGAAGCCATCTGTGTCCAGAAATCAGAGGGTAATTTCCAGTTAAGTTCCAGTAAGTTCCAGCACTGATGGATTGTGTTTCCTTTCACAGGCACCAAGACCAAGGAGGGTGTAGTGCAAAGTGTGACCTCAGGTAAGAGCACGGCCTGACAGGGATGTGGAAATCTGTTGTGATTGTTAGACCTCTTGGGAGCCATCACCCTGCCAAGTGGGAGTTAAATAAAAATATTTAATTAGTAGAGTAGGTCAGAAAAAATCTAACACAGGTTACTTGGCAGACTGGGATGATTCACAGCTATTTAGACATTTCACAATGTCAGGTGCACAGCCCAGCATGCAGAGGGGATTTACTTGCATCAGATCCTGTCTGGCCAAAACTGTGGTCTTTGGGACAGTCCTGTCAGGCAGTTGCAGAGTCAGGGACTTACTAGGGTATTCCCAACTCCAAGGAGGAGCAGTCATATGGATTGTCCTGAAGGAAGATTAATGGATCCTTTCCCTGGAGAATTTCATAACTATTGCTGTTTTCTGCCAAGGGGTATTAAACAAAAAGTAACCTGGAAGAGGTCATGCACAGTCTGCAATGCAAAATACCTTATTTACACTATTGTCTCTTAGTATCTGACAGTGAATTTTTCATTCTCTGGTTGCCTACAAAGACTGACAGGCTGCAGTGCTGCTCTACAAGTAGCATTTTGTGCCAGACAAAAATCCTCACATATACAATCTAAACTGAGATGTGATGTCATCTAAAATATCCAAACAAGGACTGCACCAGGGCTAATTTCTTCTTTTACATCAATGCAACAATTTGTCATCCCAGGGAATTTGGCAGCCTTCTGGCAGTGTCTCGTTAGCTGTCTTAGTTGACTTTTCTGTTTTTGTTGAACTGCAGTTGCTGAGAAGACGAAAGAGCAGGCCAACATGGTGGGAGAAGCTGTAGTAGCCAGCGTGAACACAGTGGCAAACAAAACTGTAGAAGGAGCAGAGAACATCGTGGCCACTACAGGAGTTGTAAAAAAGGTGTGTTTGTTTCTTCTATGTTGGGCAGGACAGAAGAGCCTTTGGATTAACCTGCAAATATTTGCAGTTGATGGTTTTGCTTATTTCATGAAAGGTTTTCAGCAATATCTGCTTTTGTATAATACTTAATATTTTCACATAATGCCTAATATAGTCACAGAATCATTGCATTTGAAAGGGACGCCTTGAGATCATCCAGTCCAACCCCCTTAGGGCCAATGAGAGAGGACTGTCCCAGTGAATTTTGAATATCTCCATGGAAGTAGACTCCACAACATTCCTGGACAGCCTGTGCCAGTGTTTGACCACTGTCACAGGAATGAAGAGAATTGTTTCTTCTGTTCAGATGGGCACATCAATCACTTCGTGCCTATTGTCTCTTGTCCCATCAGTGGGCACTGCTGGCAAGATTCTGGCTCTCCATTTTCTTATGAATGTAGAAAAGCATTTTTCCCAGGGACTTGAGTAGAAATGTGTGTGGGCTGCAGTGAGCATCTGGACTGAGTCTGAGCTCAGGGATGTGCAGAGTGGGAAGGCACAGGAGCCTGCACTTGCCCTCACCCCCGTGCTGTGCTGGTGGGAGGCACAGGCTTGCCCTGGCCACGGCAGCTCCGGAGGCAGAAGAGGGCAGCAGCCAGCCAGGCAAGCCTGGTTCCAGCAGAAAGCCTGACCCTGCTGCTCTGCTTCGTGCTGCTTTGACAACAACCAAGTGCTTATTGATAAAAGGCCGTGTGGCCCAAACTGTGCATGGATTAAGCCAGACTCAGACAAGGCATCTTCTGTCCTCCAGCCTAATTTGACAAACGGGGTGCTTCAAGTGAGGGGATTAGGAGAGTCTGAAGGAGCAGAACAGTTCCTTAGCTGAAGGCAGTGTTGATCATTAGAGAAGATGTTTTGGTAACAAACAACACCCATTTGTACAGCAGGAGGCCAATACTTGGCAGCTCTTCGGTAAGCCTGTCTCTTTCCCCTCTTCAGAGAGTGTGATCAGTGCTGTTGATGGCCACATGAGCTTTATGAGTCGCAGCAAACCCAAACCCAGAACCAAAACAAAGCCAGGCTGGCCAAAATTGTTTTAATTGTTCAGATAGTCTGCTGATTAATTTCCTGACCTGCACATAAACACATTGTGATGTGAAACAAAACTTCTACGCAGCATATAAATCCTGAGAGAATAGCCTAACAAAAGAGGACAACAGCAGCTACAAGTGATTCAAAATGCCCTCCTGAAAGCATGTGAAAAGGGCAGGAGTTCTGCTAAACCCTTGGGATAAGTTTAAACTCTATTCCCACAGGGAACAGCAGTTAGGCTGCAGGAGTGCAAACAGCAATTCCTAATTCCATGGGGCCAGAATACCCCTTCCTACCTTTTGACTGACCATGGGGTGATTGACACAGGAGAGTGAGGAATTTGCTGGTGGTAGGAATCCTTGCTGCAGATAGAAAGCTGTTTCCCCTCCAGCAAGGACCGAGCCGTAGCAATCCTCTTCTCCTTTCCTCCTAAGCCAGAACCCCACCTCAAATACTGACAGCTACAGTTTACAGCTAATTTCAGAGCTTAAACCAGTGCAGGTTTTCCAGAGAGCATCTGAACTGTCATTCTGATGTCTTCCATTGATGTCCAATTGCATAGACTTAAAATGGAGATTGATTAAGAAATAAAAAATTAGGATGTGTCACATGACAAAGGGAAGACTAAATGGAGCCAGAAAACTGCTTTGGATAAAGTGTCATGCCAAACAGCAGAGGTGCTTGAGGCAGCAGACTGAAAACAAATGGAGAAAAACAATAAAAATCACAGGAGAAAAAAATAATTCAGAAAAAACATTTGTTTCTGTGAAAGTTCATCTGTTCTGGTGGATTAGTTCAGTTTAGGAGTGCAGGTCTTTTATTCATACTCACCATAATTTAGCATGTAGCTAGACACCTTTTAGATCCAGGTAGACACAGAAGATTGGGCTCCACATGCACATCGCGTGCATCCCCGCTGCTAATGGATAATAGCCATGGAGCCAAAGCTGCTCCAGAGGGAAGGCCCTGAAAGGAGTATAAGGAGTTGTGCTGGGCTCTCAGCATGGCTGCTTTTTCTCCAGAACTGCTCCTATCATGTTACACAATTTGCTAATGGAAATACATCCAGAGTCTGCCAATAGCAGCATCAGGCACTGTAATGCATGAGGGAGACCCACTGGAGAGGCACTAAGAGTGATAATGTATCGCTTTTAAATGTTTAAACAGTGAATATCCATTGTTATAATCCTCCAGTCCTGGGATAATCATAAGCATTTCAGCCCCAGAAGTTTGAGAGGGCATCCAGTCCTGAGATAATGTTTGTGCTCCATACTATCCTCCCTCTTTCTAATTGCACAGAGCATTTGCCAACATCTTATTTGGGTTTTCAATTATCTCCAGTGTTGTTCCCTGCTATAGAAGGGCTGTTCAAAGTGCCAGGGATCTGTGAATGCATGGCACTGAGCAGTGCTTGGGGTGACTTGGGCTGGGGACTCCAGTGGCCTAGACGGCATGTCCCCAGCTGGCCACTGCCAGTGTTAACGTCAATTACAGAGAGCTCGTTGACATTTAGTCTGTGCATTTGACAGCTGGGATCACTGGCAGGCACACATTAGGAAAGAGAAGGGTACTCTAAGGGGTTTGGATTAAGTTTAGCTCAGGATAGCCGTGGGGTGCAGGTATATCAGATGGTGACTTTGGCCATGGGAAAGAATTCAGCCCTTTGTTGCATCACAGCAGGCACTGAAATGTGGACACCCTGGCAGCCTGCTGTTCCTTATTGTCCTTGGGGGAGCACTCAGAGCCACACAGAAGGAAATGGGGCTGAAGTAACCCTACACCTATGGAGGGGTGCCAAGCACCAGATGAGAACAATCTTGCGTTGTGCTGGCACTGCCTGACAGGGCTTTAGCACTGACCTGTCACTGCTGAGTACAAGAAAGAATTTACTAATTTAGGGGAGTTTTTAAGTATTAACTAAAAACATCTGTAAATTAAGAGATTATAAACCCTCCTCAATTTTTCCAGTACCAAAAGGAATGAAACCAGTCAGTCATGTGTTCTGTCTGTGGCTCCATCCCCATCCCTGGGGTGGACATTAAGAGACCCCAGTGAGATAACCACCCAGTAAATATCCCTGTCTTAGAAGAGGATTAATGCTTCGTCCTTATGACACAGCACAGAGCTTGCTGCAATGCAGGCACCACGTGGCTGGGAACAAGCCCATGTACCTACACACACTCTCAAAATGTCCCTCAGGGTTTGGAACAATTTCCCCAGGAACTGATGCTTCCCTATGCCTTCCACCTAAATCTTCTCTTTAGGTCTATTTGTCCTGTCAGTTTTTATGATTTAGTTGTCAGTTCATGACTCTGTCACTTTGAATTGGGTCTGATCTGTTTTTTGACTTCAACCCATTAATTAAATGAGCTTTTGTCAGTTATGTGCAACCGCTGGGCGCGTTCACTGGATCACCGCGTTTCTGTGCACCTGATCTGGCACGCGGGGGCCGCACCCACGCCATGGCTCATCTCTTTCATAACAACTGCACATCTTGAATGGGAAAGGCTGCTGCTCATGGCCTTAATTCCCTTCACTTACACCCTGCCATGCCTCCGATGCAAAGGGAATCTGTCACATGTAAGGAATTAGAAGCAGAAACTGAGTGACCTTCCTGTTCAAGTCAGATTGGGCTGGGCAAGTGCCACAAGGAGAGAGCAACCAACAGCATCTGAGAAGCCACCAAGGGCAGAGCTGCTAAGCAGGAGAAGCAGGGGAATCAACAGCCAAACGACCCAACAATTAGGTAGAATAAATAATTGAAACTTGTTCCTCTTTGTATTCAAGCTTCCCTGTACTTAGTTGATGCAGTGATGCATCCCAGTGGTATCTTTCCACATGTCATAGAGCACGGGAGACTGCACAAGCAGCGTGGAGTGGGGCACTCTGCCTACAGGCACTTTTTCTGTGCTCCCCTCTCAGTCTCAGTGCATTCAGGCAGACGTTTTCCAATGCAAAATAGCTGAGTTAGTGGCATTGGTGAAGCTTTAAAGCTTGAAGACCATGGATGGATGTGCTCTATGGCTCAAGGCTGTACCCCTGCAATCCCATAGGATACACATTAAATAGGTATCATTTGTATAAGCAGTCCCAGGAGACTCTCAGGGAGTCTGGCTGTGAGCTGGATAAAAACAAAGCCACCACAAAAGACTACCTGGATTTGTAGGCTAAGACAGGAATCCTGCATGCCCATCTGTCTGTCCTGTTGGTGGGTCCACTCACTTTAATCAAGGGTTGACCCCTTAGGCAGAGCTGTCAGCATCACTCTGAGCACTCAGCCTGAAACCTGTCCAGGACAGCTCGTCCACAGGACCTGCCAGGCTGCCTGAGGTTTTCCTAGGGAGTGGTTTGGGGATGCTGCCAGGCAGCATCATGTTTGCTCCAGCACCCAAGGTCAAGAGCACTACAGGAGGCTGAACCTCTCCACCTCATGCAATTGATGTCCCTGTGAGGGCCCTTGAATTTGTAGCACATTAGGCTGCCAGTGAACCTCTCTGGCTTTTCAGCCTTAAAATAATAATAATAATAATAAGGAAATCTTGCTTGCCACTGGATTTGTTGAGATTTGATGAGTATATATTCCAGTATCCAATATCTAGACTGTTTTCTCTGTTATATAAGGACAATTATCTTAGTAAGATTGCTTACGTCCAAATATTTGGGGACAGCAATAGAGCTCCCACTGGCCTGTAAGATAATATAGACAAAAAATATAAATTCCACTTCATATATGAACTCAGACAGTGGACATATCAATTGCTGAAGAGCTGAAAAAGGTAATTTCATAGAACCTGTGAAAATGAGAAATCTAAAGAATTAAATTGCAATTAATTTCTCCCAGTATTTCTGGGCTTTAAAATCAGTTTTTAAAAATATCTGAACCAAGAAGCATATTGTACAGTTTATTTAAGATGCCTTACCGTTACACAGGAATATTTTTATAAATGGCAGGTCTTAATTTGTTGAATTTTTAATTAGTGAGAGCTGAATATGTACCTCTGTTTCATGACCTTAGCAAAATATTGCATTTTATATACAGAGATCTCCTGTGGTGTATATATTCTACATAAAATATATTTTTACACACACAAAATATCTAAAAACTTGTTTACTATTCTTGGAAGGAATTCTGAGGTCTTGTATTTCACTTAACTATTATGTTCAAGTACTTCACTTTTCTTTCTAGACTAGCAAAAAAAGATTCAAGTGTCCACCCAAAACCAGAAGAAAATAGCCCATAGCAAACTAAATATTTAATTTTATTTCCATTTAAAATACTTTTTTCTAAGAAAGTACTAAATTTCTGAGGGGGAATATTTGGCTTGCCCTTTAAGAGCAGGAGGAGCATTACTAATTATTTCATGGTTTCAACATGCCTTTAGCTTAAAAAATGTTACCCCTTTTAATGAGGAGATGAGCACTGACAGGAATGGCGAAACTCTTTCTGCCCCCCAAGGAAGCTGGTTTTTCACCCCTTCTTTCTTAGCCAGCATTGTTCTGTGAGTCAGTGTTATAGCTGGAGCTGGTGTCCAGGAATTTCTGGCTCCTTCTCCAGCATGAAGACCCCTACACCACATGGTCCTCTTCTGTATATTTTCTTCCTGAGCAGTCCCTGAAATCCCCAGCCAGGTACCACCCAGCTGAGGAATGCAGCCCTTCCCCATCTCCTGCTCCTTATTCCCGGCAGGGTGGAAGCGCGTGAGAAAAAGGCTGTGAAGCGACGTCCCTAACACAGCCTGACACCTCTTCATCCTGCTATTGTGCTGGTTCCTCCAACATAGCTTAGAAACACCCTCCAGAAACTCAGTTGCTTCCCTTTCTAAAAATAGATGGTTGATTTTTAGCCTTCTGAAGCAGTCTTGGCAGAGAGCACCATCCAAGGGATCTAACAAGCAGCACAACAGCTGAACAGGGATTCTCCAGCTCACCAATTGCTCTTGGATACAGTGTCCCAAGGGTGGTCCTGAGAAAGGTGTCCCCCTCCAAGGACTCTTTCCACATCTACCAGGGCCAAGCTCCCTGCCCACAGGAACAATAGGTAGTTATACCCTGTAGAAAGATGGAGTGCACTGCACTGATCCTTGTGTTACTGTGAGCCGTTCCCCAGTTTTCCCAATGCAGCTCAGCATTTCAGGTGGTTGCCTCTGATTGATCTTCATGATTTCACACAGCAGTTGGTAACATCACCTGCAAAACACTATGAAATACCTGCTGTTGCAGCTATTGTCAATGGCTTGCATTGGAAGTTTCTTTCCTTTCCACCTAATAGTCAAAAATCTGTTTGTAAAGCTTCAAAATACAATTTGAGGCTATTTACTTGCTTTGGTCTAGTGTGCACTGCTGAGTTATAAGGTGTAGATATGTAAAGTATAATGTAAATGCAAATGTGAAGTGTAAAGCACCACAGTACTGCTATATCTTCGATTGCTTTTAGTCTGTGCAATGAGTGCTTCGGATAAGATAATGTGGGGAAAGCCTGGGTATAGCTTTGCTATACATAAATTTATTTGTTCCTCCCAAATTTCTTCACACTGATGGAGTCAAGCCTCTGGTCTCAATGATAGAAAAAGAACTGATTAAAAAGAACTGTTATAAAGACCCTAAACCAGGCTGTAAGAAATTGAGCTGGCTTTTTCATAGATATCTGCTCAAACCAGCTGCACAACAAAAAATGTATTTCAAGCAGTATCTGCCATCTATTAAAGCTGCTGTTCTGATTGCATGTGTAATGCTCACCCCCATCTTGCACAGCCTGTCTAAGATTAGGGCCATGACTCTGCATGTGGCAGCAAGGACAAACATCTTGCTTGTGACTTGGCAGGAGGAGCTGGCAGCGCCGCAGCCGCCCGAGCAGCCCAGGCTGGAGGGAGAGGGGGCCCCGGCAAGCACTGGCGGAGAGGTGAGTGGTGCCACGGCCCCGCTGCCCGGCTCTCTGTGCCACACCTGGCCTCTTCCTGAACTACTGGCTTCCCCTGGCCTCTCCCTTGCCACTTGTGGCTCTAGAACTGCCATGCAAGGAGCCCGTCACTGTTCCCACTTTCCTGAGTTATTGGACAAAAACGAGCTCATCTGTTCTCATTTTTGCCACTTCCTTATCTTGGGAATTTTCCATGAACAACAGATGGACAGATTGCAAACTGCTGCCTGATTTGGGTTGATTTTTGGGGTATAAATGCACATATTAAAGTTATTAAAGTTAATTCTATCCTGTGGTTCTGTCATCACATGGAATAGCTTTTTCCTGTTTGCTGCCATGCTTTAGAAGAGATTTAGATAACAAGTTAGTTTTTTCTGTAGATTTTTCTGTATTTAAATTAGTTCATTTAATTTTTGAACTGTTCTACCTGCAATATTCTTTTGAAGCCCTGAGTCAAAAATTTGTCTCTAGGCCAATTTCAGCTCTTGAACAAGGATGACTTTTTGTCCAACATTGACAACAGGGGCAAACGCTTCTCATGTGGTATTTCCTTTGTAATTTCAGTGTTAAGGCCTTTTTCTGTCCCTTCCACAAGTACTGCATGAATCCAAACTCCACAGTTTTCAGCCTTTCTGAAGCTCAGGCTGTTTTCATGGACCCCAAAGCTCCTGGAAGTCTCATCTTGCATCTCCCACCTTCCTCCAGCCATCACGCCCCACTGCCAATCCCAGAAATGGGCCCCATAATCCCACTGGCTGCATGGCTGCACCAGTGCTGATGTCAGGCAGGAACAGACCCAAGAGCACAAAGCAGGGCACTCTCACCAGTGGAGCCTGGCCCCACATTAACTTGACTTCCACAACGTGTGAATTCACACCCTTGTTTTCCCCAGAGATCTGAGTTACACCAGGAATGTGTCTGGTTTCCAGAAGGAACGGATAATTCATTCATTTTCTGCATCACCTGCTAAAAACAATGGTCTTCATTGTTTTTAGCTGTTTGTGGGATTTTGTATGGTGACTGTCAGCATTGATTTTTGTCCTAAATTTGTTTATGTTTTCCACTGGAAATATTTATATGTTTTCTTACCTATCTTCTTTCACAGGGTGAAATTGAAGGTGATCCATCAAGTTAGGGAATTCTTGCTCAAAAGAGATCATTCCAAGAGCATACATGGAACTATTAGCTGACACCACAACAGGAAAATCTCACTGTCCATAGGCTAACTATGTTCAGCTCTGTAGTCTTGCACTTGCCTCATAAACCAGTCGTACAATACATGTAAGCCAGACTCCTCTAATTGTAAGTAATGTGCAGGTGTGTACTGGGCCATGTGTCCCAACCTCCCAAGCCTCCCAGTTGCTTTGTGTATTTTGGTTGGACTCACGAGTCTGTGTCTTGCATCCATATGCACTGGCACTTGGGATCTCTAGGCATTGTGGAAATATTTTTTTTTAAACTAATAAAAAGTGTTTGAACAAGTTTTTTTTGTCTTGTCGGCTTTGTTTGCACATTTTAGATGTGGATCCTTCCAGTCCAATGCATTCTTCCTGTAAAAGTGCAGTACTAGAATACTTAAAACTGCAAGGGCCTTAAATCATGTTGTAAGAGATGAAGAATCATGAGAAATTCTATTTCTGAAAACAGTACTGTAGGTAGGCTGGCTTTCTGTCTCTCAGGGCTGAAAACCAAATATTTGCCATGTTTAAGAGAGAATGTGGGGGTGATGTTGGATGAAAGGAGGTTTTTTTAAAGGAATGTGAAAGTGATGTTGAGCTCAGTTTATACTGCTTGCACCAGAAAGCTGTCCTGACGTCAGGATGTAACAAGCTGCCAGAAGGTAATTAAAGAAATGTGATGGACACCAGCTGACCTGATCAGAACTGCAGTGCTGCTGGCAGGGACGGGCAGGGTTGCTGTGAAAGGCGTGAGTGTGAGGGCAGGTGCCAAAGGAGAATCTCCCGGGGCACCACGAACACGGAGCTGGTATCGGTTACAGCACTTGCTCAGGCTGCAGATCAGCTGCTGAGTGAGGGCAGCTGAGTGAGACACCCTCCACATTCACCAGGGTAGAGAGCAGGAAAATGTTGCTGTAAATAATGGACTAAGCTTAAAGCACATCAGTAGGTATGGGTGTAAAAATGAGCTATTTACCTGCAGGAAGAACACCCACGAATCCAAGAGAAGCCAGTGTAAACTGTTGAGATTTAAACTGCTTCAAAACCAGACCAATAATCTTCATTAAGCTGCTACATGATGATGACTATGGAAGGTATTACAGAAGAGACTTGCTGGGGCATGGAAGCATCTAGCAAGTGTGCTGGCAGCCCCTCTCAGGCATGTGTAAAGCATTGTCTTGCAGAGACCACAGGATTTCCATCCCAGTGCATCTTTGATCTCAACACAGAAAGGGAAAAAAGAGCTCTAGCAAAGGTAACAAGGACCTCAAAGGAAGATGTATCTGATATGTGCATACTCTTTTCTGATGTCCTGCAAGTATCTGCCAATTAAACAGAGTAACTAAAATTGAGGCCAAGGTAAGAGGACATAAAGAGATACTCATGGCCAGCAGCAGGAGACTGGAGTCTATTCTCGGTTCTCGCTAGAGAGGAACAGAAAAACCCTTTGCTCAAAAGCTTTGCTTTAAAAGCTTTGTTTTATGGGGATACAAACAAAAGTTTTTTTCAAAAAACTGTTTTGCAAAAAAATAGGAGGTGAATGCCATCACTAAGCAGGGTATGTGTGGGAGGCAGGAGCAGGCTGTAACTCAAAGGAGCAGTAAACTGCTCCCCATATGCCCATCTCTCAAGCAGGCTTGAGAGGCCCCTGGTTCCAAGGGCTTAAACCAGGAGAGAATGGTAATTACTGAGCTAAGAATGCCATGCCACATCTCTGCCACACTGAGCTATGTGGCTGTTTGGGAGGGCAGTGTGCAGCTCTCTGTGTTTCCTCCCCTGTGGGAGGGAAAGTCTTTTCCCAGTATTTACACACCTGTATCTGGAATTATGAGACTGAAAGCACTAAATGCCCAACATTTAGGCACCAAAAGTGTCTGAATGTTTCCTAAAGATCTGCCTCTGCACTTGCCTGCCTTTCACGTGGGAGAGCACTGCTCAGGGCCCAGGCAGGTGCAGTCCCTGCAAAGATCTGGTCTAGTCCCATGGCAGTCAAAGCCCAGAGAGTGTTTATGTATCTTGCACAGGCAGTCCCAAATCTTGGAGACAGACACCAGTACATGCAGTTTCCTCACACATGAGTACCCTGTGTCAGTGAGTGGGAACAGGGTAGTGCTGTGCCCATGCAATGGCTCAGTGAGCCTCTATTTCCTCCCTGTCCCTTCCTCAGACTGGCTGTCACCCAGCTGTGGGAAGCAGAAGCCAGAGGTCTGAGCCACATTTGTCAGAGGTAAGAAAGGTTTCTTGTTTCTTTTGAAGTAGATGGGTCTTGGATTAAAGAGACAAAATATTGTTTATTAATTATTCAACTAATCTTTGTTGTATGTCTGTTTCTTTTTTTGAAAGGAAGTCTATGCTTTCAATGAGTATTCAGACAAGTATAATGAGAGGTGATGGATGGAAAGTGAAAAGTGGAATGATGGAGGAGATGTGTCAGAAACATCCTACAGGAGAAGGTACTTTCACTGTGGAAGTGCTGGGACCCCCTGTCCCAGGTAAGTACTGAGGGATGCAAACACTAGAAAAATCATTTTTTGCTGACAGGTCATGATCTGGGCAATCAAGAATTTCTTTTACTGATCTCACACAGTGATTTATTGAAGTGGACTTTGTACATGTGATACCACTGTCACACAAGCTGTTAAGTTAATCCCACTGTGATGAGACAGCACCCAGTGCCAGTAGAGTGTGACCACCGTCTGTCCCCAGTGAGGACTTGGTCACTTGAACTCTGACCTCTGAGGGGATCCAACAAGCCAGGAACAGCTGCTGCCAAGTGTTGCATCAACCTTACCATACAAATGACCAATAAAGTGCTGAAAACCATTTTTTCCTCCAGGTAACAGCAAAACTTTCTTTCCATGTAAAACTGCAGTTAAGCTTTATTGGGTGATTTGTTCTGATAGAGCTCACAGCCTTTGTGATCTCTCCCCAGTTATGTCCTAGCCAAGGGCTGAAGGGCATGCAGGGCCTGGTTTTTCAAAGATGTTTGTCTGGGATGAAGGAGAGGAAGCAGTGGCTCTTTACAGAATATCCCAAACAGCATTCCACTAATTTAAATGCAAATCAGGTAACAATACACTTAAAATCCAACTTGATTTGAAAGTCCTATTTTTGTGTCTGCATAATGCATGTCCTCAAACTGAATTCACAGAGTACCCGATTAAAAACTGAAGGGCTGTTTTTCTAATACTGTTCTCTATAAAATCACATTCTCACCTCTTTGACACATGGAAATTCAGTTTACCTTTTTCATAAATGTGTCAAAACCCTACCAAATCACAAGAAGATACTCCATACTGTTAATACAATAGCAGAAAAAGCTCAGATTAAAATTGCCCTTTCTGAATATCAGACAAACCCCCGCCCATGCGAGTTTGAAGCAGCACAGTTTCTCTATCAAGCTTTGGCACTGCTTTTTTGCGTGGATCCCAGCATGCAAGGCACCCTTCCTCTCCCACTAAACCCAACTAGGGTGAGCAGCACAACTGTGTGCCAGAAGGGCAGCGCATAGCACTCCTTCCTCTCAGTGTGCCTAGAAAATGTACACAGCTCTCCTGTAGACTTTGCATCCCAGCTCACATCCTCAGCTTTCCCAGACAGTCACTCCTGGGATAGGACCAGTTATTTATTTCCCCAGTTCCATGCCAGATTTTAAGGTGGGAGTCAATCCTTTCTCATCTTCCTAGCCTTTCTAAGTTAAAAAACAGACAATTTTTTGTTTTCTTTTCTAGTCCTGAATCTGCAGGATATTGTGAGACATCAAAGCAGTGCCATATTTAAGGATGGTTTCAGGTTCTCAAGATGACAGTAGAAACATGACACTTCACCTGGATATTATCTCAAGACTGAAAAAGTAGAAGGTAAAGAACTCCGTTTGCACTGGCCTTATGTTGATCTCCTGCTTTGACGCAGAGCTGACTGATAATTCCTGGAGGATGTTACCACCTGTGTAAAGGAAGAATCAGTTAAACCTATTTTTCTCCCAGAACTGTATATCAATATTTGAACTGAACAGCTAATATAGCTTAATTAGAACAACTTTAGTTTGATCTCCTAAATTACTAACATATGACTTACAATAATTATCTATAAGCAAACCACTGCATTTCTTAAAACAGTTCTGTTTCATGGCATAATCATCACATCCCTTGCACACTAATATCAGTTTCCTTTGGCAGCCATGAATATTGAACACTGCACACTTTGTAAACTTCTGGAGTGATCTGTGTAGAACTTTTTAGCCCTAACACATCATTGCATTTACCTTGCAAATGAACAACACGCCTATCTATAAATCCCAACCCTGGTAAAATTAAAATTTAAGAAAACCCAAATAAATTTCAATACTTTTTCATTAACCCCACTTGCCCATTTTCATGTGTAAAACATAAGCTGTAGCTCTGATTAATTACTTCTGACCTTCATTATGTAATAGAGCAGAAGGGTTCATGTCACTGATATATGAGAGGGTGCTCAAAGCTGCCACAGAAGATGTGTGAAAGGAAAGGAAACCAGAGCAATTTCTAATTTCCCCCTTTGGATTTAACTCATTGCTGTTTGGGCTGCGTATTTGTAGTTGCCAACTATTTTCAGGGCCATGGGTTGTGAAGCACTCGTAGTACTTAAATAATCAGTTTTGGACCTTTCTTCCCCAAACACAAACAACTGCTCATCACAAGCAACAGATTATAGAGGTGCAGAATGTGGAGAAAAAGCCCAAGGAATCAGACACAGAGAAGGGAGTCAGACATGTTATGTGTCAGAGGTGTCAGAGGTGAGCAGACAGTGCTGCTGGGGGCGCTGACACTTTTGGACTTCTGGTCCTGGCCAGTGCCAGTGATGCACCCTGGCATTACCAGGTGGAGTAACTTTTGGAATAGCCTGAAATTCCAGGGGCCCCTTGGCATGTGGCTCTGCCCACACTGTGGTGTCTGCCCACCTGGCATTAACCAGAACTTCCATCTTCAGTCTCAGCACATACCAAGAGCTGAATGCAGCAAAAGTCCAAACTAACCTTCTGCTCTTTAAAATCCTCATTTTTAAGCACTCTAATTAATATCTAACATCAGTTCAAAGGGCTTACTATTGTCTTTTAAATGTAATGTTAACTCACAGAGTGAATAAATATAATGCCATATGTTCCATTAATTTTCTGCTGTGATTTTGTAACTCAGCCAGACACCTGATGCACAGGTTTTTGGTACCATCATATGGAATGAATACTATGCAAATGTCCCTCTTCCCTCTACTCTGGGCTCAATTATAATGATCATGCCATGCCAATTTGGGCAAGAGTAATTTGCTC